GGTCCCCCCACCACTTTTGGGGTCCCACCACCCCCCTCGAGAAGGTCCCACCACCCTTGGGGGGTCCTAGCACCACTTTTGGGGTCCCACCAGCTCCCTTGAGAAGGTGCCACCAGACTTGGAGGATCCTATCACCACTTTTGGGGTCCCACCACCATTTTTGGGGTCCCACCACCTCCTTGAGAAGGTCCCACCAACCTTGGGGGGGGTCCCAGCACCCTTGGGAGGTCCCATCACCACTTTTGGGGTCCCACCACTCCCTTGAGAAGGTCCTAGCACCCTTGGGGGGGGTCCCAGCACCCTTGGGGGGGGTCCCAGCGCCCTTGGGGGCTCCCATCACCACTTTTGAGGTCCCGCCATGAGTTTTGGGGTCCCACCACTCTTGGAGAGGTCCCATCATTCCTAGGAAGGGTCCTAACCCCCTCAAGAACGTCCCACCACCCTTGGAGGATCTCACCACCACTTTTGGGGTTCCACCACCTCCCTCGAGAAGGTCCCACCGCCCTTGGGAGGTCCCACCACCCCTAGGAAGGGTCCCCCCACCCTGTTTGAGAAGGTCCTACCAGCACTTTTGGGGTCCCACCAACCCTCTTGAGAAGGTCCCACCACCCTTGAGGAGGTACCACCACCCTTAGAGGGATCCCACCACCACTTTTGGGGTCCCACCACCAGTTTTAGGGTCCCACCAACCCCCTTGAGAAGGTCCCACCACCCTTGGGGGGTCCCACCATCACTTTTGGGGTCCCACCACCCCCCTCGAGAAGGTCCCACCACCCTTGGGGGGTCCTAGCACCACTTTTGGGGTCCCACCAGCTCCCTTGAGAAGGTGCCACCAGACTTGGAGGATCCTATCACCACTTTTGGGGTCCCACCACCATTTTTGGGGTCCCACCACCTCCTTGAGAAGGTCCCACCAACCTTGGGGGGGGTCCCAGCACCCTTGGGAGGTCCCATCACCACTTTTGGGGTCCCACCACTCCCCTCAAGAAGGTCCCACCATTCTTGAGAAGGTCCCACCACCACTTTTGGGGTCCCACCACCAGTTTGAGGGTCCCACCAACCCTCTTGAGAAGGTCCCACCACCCTTGAGGAGGTACCACCACCCTTAGAGGGGTCCCACCACCACTTTTGGGGGACCGCCAGAGCGTCGAGTAGGGAACCAGCGCACTTAGGAGAAGATCCTCTTCATGGCCAGCAAGAAGAAGGTGGAGTTCCTCAAGCAGGTGGCCCACGGCAAGGCGGGGGAGGGGGCCAACGGCGTCCCCGCCATCACCCTCCTCGTCCGGGAGAAGGTGGGTGGGGTGGGGTGGGTGGGGGTGGACGTGAGGTAGAGGAGGAGATGGAGGTGAAGATGGTGATGGAGATGGGGCTGGAGGTGAAGGTGGGGATGAAGATGAAGGTGGGGATGGGGATGGAGGTGGTAAAGGTGGACATGAGATGGAGGTGGGGATGAAGATGGAGGTGGAGGTGAAGATGGGGGTGGAGGTGGTGATGAAGGTGGACGTGAGGTGGAGATGGAGGTGGGGATGAAGATGAAGGTGGAGATGAGATGAAGGTGAAGATGGGGATGGAGGTGGAGATGAAGATGGGGGTGGGGATGAAGGTGGACACAAAGTGGAGATGGAGGTGGACGTCAGGTAGAGATGAAGATGGTGACAGAAGTGGAGATGGGGATGAAGGTGGACACGAGGTGAAGGTGAAGATGGGGATGAAGGTGGAGGTGGACACGAGGTGGAGAAGAAGAAGATGGGGATGAAGGTGGAGGTGGACACGAGGTGGAGAAGAAGAAGATGGGGATGGAGGTGGAGATGAAGATGGGAGCGGAGATGAAGGTGGAGGTCAAGGTGGGGATGGAGGTGGAGATGGTGATGGAGATCGAGGTGGACGATGGAGATGGTGGAGATGGAGGTGGAGGTGGGGATGGAGGTGGAGATAGAGGTTTAGGTGGAGATGATGATGGAGGTGGAGATGAAGATGGAGGTCAAGGTGGAGATGGAGCTGATGGAGCTGGAGGTGGAGATGAAGGTGGAGGTCGAGGTGGAGATGGAGGTCAAGGATGAGGTAGGGATGGAGATGGAGGTTGAGGCGGAGATGGTGATGGAGATGAAAGTGGAGGTCAAGGTGGAGATGGAGATGATGGAGATAAAGGTGGACACGAAGGTGGAGATGGACATGGTGGAGATGAAGGTAGAGGTGGACACGGAGATGATGGAGGTGGAGGTCAAGATGGGGATGGAGGTGGAGATGATGGAGATGGTGGTTGAGGTGGAGATGAAGGTTGAGGTGGAGATGGGGATGGAGTTGGAGATGATGGAGATGAAGATCGAGGTGGAGATAAAGGTTGAGGCAGAGATGGTGATGGAGATGGAGGTAGAGATGAAGATGGAGCTCGAGGTGGAGGTCAAAGTGGAGATGGAGATGATGGAATTGGAGGTGGACATGAAGGCGGAGATGGAGATCAAGGTCAGGGTGGAGGTGGAGATGGCGGAGATGGAGATTGAGGTGGAGATGATGGAGGTGGAGATGGAGATGAAAGTGGAGGTCGAGGTGGAGATGGAGCTCAAGGTGGAGATGGAGCTCAAGGTGGAGGTTGGGAATGGAGATGGTGGAGATGCTGGAGGTGGAGATGCCCAACCCCCGTTCTTCCTCCCCTCCCCCGCCAAGAACGAGAGCAACAAAGCCAACTTTGAGAAGATGATCGAGGCCCTGAAGGCCAGCAAGGGCGGGCGCCGCCTCGGCGTCTTCCCCAAGGACAAGTTCCCCGGCGACTTCATGAAGAGCTGGAACGACTCCCTCAGCAAGGAGGGCTGGGAGAAGGTCCGTGGAGGCCCCTCCCCCCGCCCCGCCCACCTCCCCGCTGTGGTGACATCACGCGCGTCCTTCCTCCCGCGCTAGGTGGACATCAGCGCGGCGGTGGGCTACGCCATGGCGGTC